CTCTCTCTCTCTCTCTCACACTCACACACACACACACACACACACACACACACACTCACTCACATGTACTCTGGTGTGCTAGACGTGGCTGGCAGCGGAGGATGCAGACTCGTCTGGCTGCCCATGCTGCTGCTGTAGCTGCAGAAACTGTGAACTTGAGCTCGGCTGGGGTTATACGCTGTGATGCGTCTCGACGGGTTAAAGGGGTCCTCCTCATCAATATCATCATAATCCTTGTCCCTGAGGACAACCAATCGCACGTCAGCTACACCGATGGTCTCAGGTGCCATGCACTGCAGTGACACAACAGGAAGGTGGATGGTACCTGATGGCGATGAGGGTCCAGGCACGTGGGACGGCACACAGCAGGGCACAGAAGGCACAGGCTGCCAGCAGAGAGAACAGGCAGAGATACAGGAGCCCCTCCACACCATCATAGCAGACACCCAGCAGAGCCTCCAGATAGTCCTGCAGGATCAGAGAGCTGTTAGATCAACACAGGACCTAACAAACCCATATTTTAAATTTGTTTTTAAGTAGTTTGAGATAATCATTTATTATTAATTAGAAAAAAAAATATCCCTTATTAATATTTGAAAAAACAGAGACCCCTATAATACCAAGGTCATCATAATAAAAATAAAAATATGGTTTACCTTTTCGAAAAATAGTAATTACGATTACATACATTCAAGGCATAAGGAAAATATGTTTTTAGTTTATACTCAATGGTTAAACCACATGACCTTTTTAGAGACATTCAATTTAATATTTGGTTGGAAATGGCTATAAATGTTTTTCAAAACAACATGAAACCAACATAAATACAAACAGTAAAAATATTTGAAAAACTTTGTCAAGTGGTGCAACCAACATACAGGAAAAATGCCCTATAATGCCAAGGTTAATCTCATAATAATGCCAATAAATCTCTTCATTAGATAATTTGACCTTTTTATTAAAAATCAAGGTTAGTTCAGATTGTAAAATGTCATGTGGTGCAACCAAAAATATTATGTATGAATTAAGAATTCATGATATTTGTAAAATAAATAAATAAACACAAATACTATTTATTTAAAAATATATATTTAAATGTCTTCTAATTCATTTGTGTACACTTACATGCATTGAAGGTGTAAGGAACTTTTTTTTTTGATGTTCACTCTACATAACATTTCTGTTGAAAATGGCATAAAAGTAAAAAAAATAAAAATTAAACCAGTTTTTAAAAAGAATTCACCTGTTCGTGATCATGAACACTCTTATTTGTCATTGAGGGCAGTTTTGGGTTAAAAAAAAACAGTGAACAAGACTGGCGATAGATAGAAGTCTGGCTATTTGAGACTGACAAACTGTTAAAATATATTTTGAAATAAAAATGTGACTCACTTTATGCAGACTACGGCAGTCCAGCAAGGCGGTAAGCTGATGCAAATTGAACTCTGAGGAGTTCAAGATCCGTTGAATTCCTAGAAGATCTTTCTGAAATTATTCAAATTGGGAAATGAATGTTTGGAGAAAAGGAGGTACAGAATGTGACGCAGAACCCTCTTTGACAGCACTCTCACCTCTGCTGTGGGAAACACTGCAACAGAAAACTGCAGCAAACCTTGCACCTGTATCTGCATGGTGGTTAAAGACCTCTGGAAAACGGTCAAAGACTGCAATACAGAAACAACAGCAAATCAGACAAACATGTGACCTAAAGCGGTCCATCCACTGACCTAAAGGATTTCTACACAGACATGCAATAGATTGTGCCTTCTGTTAATGCAATGACTAGTGAAAGGTCAGTAATCCCTGCTGAGGATATGTATTTACATCTGGATTTACAGTTATTAAGGTTTTAAATTTGGTTAATGGTTACATCTGTCTTATACATCTGCTTTATGACATTCCCCCAGAACATTTACTTTAATAGATCATCCAAAACAGCAGCTTAACCAGCACAGAATAAAGTCTAAATCAGTGGAAAAGCTTTCACGTGATTCCCACAGGCAATGCGAGAAAGCCAGACAAATCTAATTATCCCAAAACTACAGACAAAAGAGATCCCCTTTGATCATATCGCCTATTCATAATTTAATTAGCCACGCAGATTTTTTACAGAAACATTATAATGGCTTTAACATGGGTATTTGCCTCAATTAGAAGTCAAATGAATCTGTAAGCTCCATTAATTGCTTGTGTCAGGAATTGTGGGAGGAATTGAACGCTGACATGCCAGGGAATCGTTTACCTGCTGGAACGGATTGGGAAGACTCTGGCTGCAGTAAAGGTAATAGTGCACTATATCTGCAGGGGACACAGAAACACAGCAAACATTCAAATGCTTACAGTCTGTGCCATTAAATGAAACTGAACTAGCAAAATGGCTCATTTGGAAATTATCATTAATCATGAGCACATTAAAGGAATAGTTCACCATAAAATTTAATTTTGTTGAAAATGTACTCACCTTTACACCTCAGATTCAACAATGGATCCTGTGCAGTGAATGCATGGGTGCCGTCAGAATGAGAGTCCAAACAGCTGATAAAAACATCACAATAATCCATAATAATCCACAAGTAATCTACATGACTCCAATCCATCAGTGAATATCTTGTGAATTAAAAAGCTGTGTGTTTGTAATAAACAAATCCATCATTAAAAATTTTTAAACTTCAAACCGTTATATCCTGATAAAATACAAGTCTTCTATCCATAATATTGCTTTCTACAGTGAAAAGGTTGTCATAGAAATATGCACAGATCCAGCACCATTTGCAAGCGAAAACAATCCAAAACAGTACTAAACAAATATGTCGGCGGATTTTGATGGAGGACTTTTTGTTGGTGGACTTTTCACTAGAGGAAGCGTTATTATGAATTATGGACTCGTATTTTGGTCAGAGCAAAGGTTTAAAGTTAAAATGCCTTAATAATGGATTTGTTTCTTACAAACTTACAAAGCTTTTCCCTTCATAAGACGTTAATTGACAGAGTGGAGTCATGTGGATTACTTGTGGATTACTGTGATGTTTTTATCAGCTGTTTGGACTCATTTCTGACGGCACCCATTCACTGCAGAGGATCCACTGGTGAGCAACTAATGTATTGCTCAGAAATTATAAATGTGTTGCTCAGAAATTATACATTTCTCCAAATCTGTTCCCATGAAGAAACAAACTCATCTGCATCTTGGATGGCCTGAGGGTTAATACATTTTGAGCAAATTTTTTTTCACCCATTTTTGGGTGAACTATTCCCTTATATATGACCGCCCACATAGCAGCTATTCAGTATGAAGCCACCAATCACATTAGAGATCGTTTACATATAGTTTTTTTTTCTTTTTTCTCTCAAATAAGTTTTATTGAAAGTCAAAGATTTTGAAGATGGATTTGCAATCTTGCATATTTTGTCTCTTTTACCTGTACAAAGAATACAATACAATCAAAATTAGAAAAGAGAAAGAAAAAAAAAACATCACAAACCATCCCTTACCAGACCTGCTTACATTAAATTGTAAAGTATGGTGAATAAATATTAAAACATTACATTAACAAATGATGCATTACTCCATAGGTTTTCCTAGATAACAGAAAAGGGTGCCAGATTTTGTCAAACTGCTCAAATGTGCCCTTCAAACAGTATCTAATTTATTCCAAATGTAAAGTAGAAATCATCTCTCCAAGCCATAATTTGACTGTAGAAGCCTCCTTTTTCTTCCAGAATAACAGTAGTAACTTCTTGGCTGTAATTAAACTGTATGCAAGAGGTTGTGTTGTGCTCCTGATAATGGATGCATACGTTCAGAAAGTCCCAGAATGAAAAGTGCATTCGGCAGCATTTGCACCCTAAAAATCTCTGAAAGCACATAAAAAAATTCCATTCCAATAACTCTATCTTGGAGCAAAAAATGAAACTATGGGACAAATCAGCATCTACTGAATTATATTTGTCACAAAGAGATGAGACATTTTGTAAAATTCTATGTACTTTCTTTTTTTGGATAATGTAGTCTGTGAATGACTTTAAACTGAATAAGGGAGTGTCTAGAATTGATAGAATGTTCTTTAATATCCTTTAAACTCGTCTGCCATGTTTCCTCAGAAAATTCCACTCCTAGTTCTTTCTCCCATTCTTCCTTAAGAAAACTTGTAGAGGGAGGATTGTAGCAGATCATAAATGATCGATAATGCCTTTTTACTTCCTTTACACTGATCAAGACACTTATCAATAATTAAGGGTGATGTATTATCCAATGAAGGTGTATGATCACGTATATAACTCTGGGGAAAATTTCTATTGCAGCTGACTAAAGGATGCCAGAGCCCCATCATTGCGGAACACTATGATCATCCAACCACACTGAAATTAGTCTTATGTAAGAAGCCCAGTAATAAAGACAAAAGTCCGGAAGTGGCAGACCTCCCTCCTGTTTAGGTTTACAGAGATGTGCCTTCTTAACTCTGTGATTTTTATATCCCCACAAGAACGGAAGAATAATCGAATCTAATTGCTTAAAAAAGGATTTAGGTAGAAAGATTGGAATAATCTGGAATAGATACAGTATCTGTGGTAAGAAAATAATTTTAATTGCATTTATTCTACCAAACAGTGAAATCGGGAGTGCTCTCCAAAATTGTATATTAGCTTGCAATTTGGAAATTAAAGGGGTAAAGCTGGCAGAATAATTCCAAGATAAGTCAATTTTTCCATTGAGACTTTAAGTGGAGAAGATTGTATCGAAGACGTATCTTTTAGTCCAATGATCATTAGCTCACTTTTATTTAAATTAACTTTAAACCCTGTAAACATCCCAAAGACATTAATAGTATCCAAAATAACCGGCAGACTCACATGGGGTTTGGCAATATATAGCATATGCATATAAAGATATTTTATTGACTGTATTTAAAGTGTTAAAGCCATGAATAGAAGGGTCAGAATGAATGTATTGAGCAAGAGGCTCTACAGTCAGCACAAATAAGAGAGGAGAAATGGGGCAACCTTGCCTAGTCCCTTCTTTGGAGACTAAAGGGACCAGACAAAGTATTATTAGTTAATACCTGAGCTGTAGGACTTTTATACAAAATTATTTTGTATAATAAAGAGAGATTATTACCAGATTTTCTTGAATAGCTTTGGAGTGGTGCATTATGTTAAAAAGGCGCCTAGTATTTTGTGAAACATTCCTGCCAGGAATCCATTCTGAGCTACATATAGAGTTTAAAGGTACAGTAGCAAAAACGGTTTCATTCTAAATGTGAGAGAGTGTGGAAAATGATTATGACTAAATTATGACTGTTTTTGGTGCAAGAAACCTTGACTACCATATAGGATATGTCTTTAAACAGCTGTGTTAAAAACATGCGGTTCATGCAAAAACACAGGCATATAGAGAGAAATGAAATATTACTTACCTGCACTTAAGGAGTCTTTGGTTTGATTGACAATGAACTTGTCAGGAGAGACACAAAAGTCACTGATGCCCTAGAAAAGATCAAACAACAAGCTCACAATTACAATTCTGCAGAATCTTTTAAACATTTACATTTAATCATTTAGCAGACGCTTTTATCCAAAGCGACTTACAAATGAGGACAATAAAAGCAGTCAATACTAACAAAAGAGCAACAATATATAAGTGCAAATGACAAGTCTTGGTTAGCCTAACGCAGTACACGTAGCAAGGTGTATATATATATATATATATATATTATACACACACACATATACACACACACAAAGAAAAACAAGTAGATAGAATAGAAAAAATAGAAAGCTAGTGTTAGTTTTTTTTAAATAAAAAAAAGAAGATAAATATAGATAAAGTAGAAATAAAATAGAATAGAAAGTGCTAGAGTTAGAGGGTCAAATAAAGGTGGAACAGATGTGTTTTTAGTCGTTTCTAGAATATGGCTAAGGACTCAGCTGCTGGGATTGATTTGGGCAGGTCATTCCACCAGGAGGGAACAGTTAATGAAAAAGTCTGTGAAAGTGATTTTGTGCCTCTTTGAGATGGAAACAAGAGAAAGAAATTGAAAGCCACATAGCATTTAGTAAATGTTGTTGCAGTGTTCACACATATTGGACTGTGGTGTTTGTATCAAAAGGTGACAGGGTTTCTAAGACCTTTGCTTAAAGTCAGGACCATATGAGGTGATCAAAAGGGGGCTAATCCTATTGCGAAGATCTGTGGATGGCCTGGCTTAAATTAGTGGCTGTCAGCAGCAAGCCAGTATGAACTATTACCTGAGATACTGAAAAGGGCTCAAAGAAACCTGAAACTTTCTTGAGGGAAAGTGTCATGAACACTGTTTCTAATTAAACAGCTGTGCACTGACAATCTTCTCTCTGACAAAACTCTAAAAGCTCATTCATGCATTCAGACTCAAAAGTGACAAACTGGATGGCAAAACTAACCAGATTTTAATTTCAACACAAGGTCTAAGGATGCCATTGGGATTTACGGGACATTTTTATCAATCATTTCCTTTAGGTTAGGTTAAGGGTGAGGTTAGGACTACTGTTGTTTGCTGGACCAAAACGTTGTTGTTTCAGGACCAACATAAAATGCATCCAGCTTGGAAAAACCAATGTCACTGGTGTGTATTTTAGATTTTACATACATTTCAGACTACATGCATTAGTGTGGCCACTCAGTAATCATATGAAGAATCAGTAAATCAATTAGGAAATCAATTATAAAATCTATAAATTAAATAAATCCACTATATACCGTATTGGCCCGAATATAAGACAACCCTGATTATAAGACGACCCCCCTTTTTCCAGATGTACCTTTTGGAAAAAGGCTTTTTAAAAATTACCAAATCTTGTTTTTTCTCAGTAAAACACATTTTGTCTTCAATTATTTTCATATTGCATATTTTTCCTATTTTAATGTTTGTTTTGAAAGTATGGTAAAAACTGGTAAAATGTACCAACAATCACATTTAAAAAATATACACTTTTTGATATACTATTAAAAAAAAAGAAAAACAAGTAGCCCATCTGAATTAAAAAGTCTGTGAAAGTGATTTTGTGCCTCTTTGAGATGGAAACAAGAGAAAGAAATTGAAAGCCACATAGCATTTAGTAAATGTTGTTGCAGTGTTCACACATATTGGACTGTGGTGTTTGTATCAAAAGGTGACAGGGTTTCTAAGACCTTTGCTTAAAGTCAGGACCATATGAGGTGATCAAAAGGGGGCTAATCCTATTGCGAAGATCTGTGGATGGCCTGGCTTAAATTAGTGGCTGTCAGCAGCAAGCCAGTATGAACTATTACCTGAGATACTGAAAAGGGCTCAAAGAAACCTGAAACTTTCTTGAGGGAAAGTGTCATGAACACTGTTTCTAATTAAACAGCTGTGCACTGACAATCTTCTCTCTGACAAAACTCTAAAAGCTCATTCATGCATTCAGACTCAAAAGTGACAAACTGGATGGCAAAACTAACCAGATTTTAATTTCAACACAAGGTCTAAGGATGCCATTGGGATTTACGGGACATTTTTATCAATCATTTCCTTTAGGTTAGGTTAAGGGTGAGGTTAGGACTACTGTTGTTTGCTGGACCAAAACGTTGTTGTTTCAGGACCAACATAAAATGCATCCAGCTTGGAAAAACCAATGTCACTGGTGTGTATTTTAGATTTTACATACATTTCAGACTACATGCATTAGTGTGGCCACTCAGTAATCATATGAAGAATCAGTAAATCAATTAGGAAATCAATTATAAAATCTATAAATTAAATAAATCCACTATATACCGTATTGGCCCGAATATAAGACAACCCTGATTATAAGACGACCCCCCTTTTTCCAGATGTACCTTTTGGAAAAAGGCTTTTTAAAAATTACCAAATCTTGTTTTTTCTCAGTAAAACACATTTTGTCTTCAATTATTTTCATATTGCATATTTTTCCTATTTTAATGTTTGTTTTGAAAGTATGGTAAAAACTGGTAAAATGTACCAACAATCACATTTAAAAAATATACACTTTTTGATATACTATTAAAAAAAAAGAAAAACAAGTAGCCCATCTGAATTAGGACATTTAGGCTATCCATCTAATAGTAGCCTACCAAAATCTTATTAAAAAAAAACATTGTCTTATATTCGGGTCAATATGGTAAATTGTGACATGTCTAGACATGAGGATAAATTGATAATTTAATAATAATAATAATTAGAGGTGCTGAGATCCTCGCCGTCATTTTCAACCGAATGGTTGATGAAGGTGCGGCCCCGACGGCCTGGACAACCAGCACAACAGTACCCATTTGGAAGGGTAAGGGCGACGTCGCGGAATGCTCCAACTACCGGCCGATTCGCCTTTTATGCAATGCCATGAAGATTTTCGAGCGAATCTTGGACGCCAGACTACGGCAGATCGTCACCGTCACGCCTAATTAATGCGGCTTTGTCAAAGGCAGCGGAACGACGGACGCCATTTACGCCGCCCGGCTCCTCATAGAGCGATACGGGAGAAGAACAGGCGAGTCCACGTGACCTTCCTGGATCTCGAAAAAGCATTCGACAAAATTCCGCACAACCTAATCTGGCACGCCCTCCGGTCCCACAACATGCCCGAGGCCTACGTCACCAGTGTTGTCGGAACATCACCATCCTTCCCCATCACCGTCGGAGTACATCAAGGATCAGCCCTCTCGCCGCTCCTATTCATCCTATGCATGGACACGGTGACGGCCGACATCCAAACCACCCACCCGTGGTCGCTCCTCTTCGCTGACGACGTATTCTTGGCAAGCGAAGACCATCAACAGCTACAAGACCAAACGCAGCAATGGAAGGCCCGACTGGACAAGTACGGAATGCTTATCGAGTATTAAGAAGACCGAGTATATGGAATGCGGGCCCCAGACGAACGGAGCCATCAGCATTGACGGCAAAGATCTGAAGGCGGCGACCAATTTCAAGTATCTCGGATCTGTCATCAGCAGCGACAGCGACACCCTCCCGGACGCCCGAACCTGAGTCAATGCTGCCTGGATGAAATGGCGCCAAGTCACCGGCGTCCTGTGCGATCGACGAATGCCCATTCGAATGAAAGCCAAGATTTACAAGACCGTGGTACGTCCCATAGCTCTCTATGGATCGAAGTGTGGCCGGCAACATCCAAGCATGAGCAGGCCCTTCACGCAATGGAAATGCGAATGCTGCGATGGTCTCTTGCTCTGACCCGATGGGACCACGTGACAAACGAAGACGTCAGAAAGTGGATGGGCATCGCCCCAATCGTGGAGAAGATGTGAGAAGGACGACTCCGGTGGTATGGCCACGTCGTAAGAAGCGACGAAGGATCGGTGACGAGAACAGCACTCTGACTAAGCCCGCATGGCAAGCGACCACGCGGAAGGCTCAAGAAGCGATGGCTCGACCGTTTGAAGGACGATATGCGGCACGCCAGCATCGCCCCGGAGGATGCTCTGGACCGAGCCATATGGAGACGGGCGTGCAGAACAGCAGACCCTGCACCCAAGCGGGAAAATCGCTAGGACAAAGAATAATAATAATAATAATAATAATAATAATAAAAGAATTTAATAAAAACATTGATAATTTGAAAAAGAAATTATAAAAGAATTTAATAAAAACTGTAGCGAATCAGCTCATGGGGAAATATGAATAATTAATCATAACTAGTTATAATTAATTATAAATATTAGATCCGCTGTAGATATTTACAAACATTGATAATTTGAACAAATATTCAATTTGCAATTCATAAGATAAATTATATAATTGACATTGTCATCTACAGCTTTCTGTATATCCCTATTGATTTGTTTTTTTTTATCAATTGATACATTTTTTGATTGTGATATTTCAGAAGATTTCATTTACTTAACATCATTTCTGAATTCTGAATTATCATAATTTAAATTATTGATTGATTCCTACACATTTTTTTTCTCAAATCCATTACAGAGTGGTTCACATAGGATTCCAATAGTAAATTCTTTCTGAAATAAAAAAAGGGAAGAATGAAGGTGTGAAGAGTCACACAGTTCCTGCAAGGCTTGTTTCCACTCTCTCTTACTATCAGTAACAGGAGGGAATCGATGTAGTCAGTCACTGCTGGAGTAATCCACTTTACTGCAGGGCCTGACCTCTGTTCTGACCCCTCATTGAGCAGTCTTAAGTTCTGTTCCCCACAGACATCCCGACTGAAGCGTCGGCTATGACTCTAATCAACGTAGAGCTCAGGTCTGCCTCATAAATAGCTCCTCAAAGACTAGAGCTAAAATAATTAAGCCAATTCATTGATACTGTACCTAATTTTTTTAAATTTAATTTAGAGATATTATTTAGAAAGTAAAGATTATGGTTTCTGTTCTAACTCTATTTAGAATGGCAAAATAAACTGACTTGAGGAAGGAGGAAAATCATATTTGCGGTTGACAGCAAAGACTGTACATCCAATCAAACTCTACAATATATTCAATTCATATGTCTATAGAGAGAAACCAGTCTAATTAAACAGATTAATTCAAGTCACTTAGCTGATTCACAAAATAAGGATTCAGGAATCAAACAACTATCTTTATTAGTGAGTCACTAAGTGATTCCCACAGATTTGTTCAAACACACCAATCTGTTCAGAAACAACATGTCCTTTTGCTGTAGCTTTTTGTTGGCGATGTTGAATCTAAAATGTAAGTTAGTCAATATTTATGTCTTATTTATTGAACTGTATACGAGCAATATCACTCAATCATTATATTAGTCTGAATATTAGTGCAGCTTATGGATAAATAACAAATAAAACCACCATTTCTGATTTAATATAGCCTAAATATAGAGTTACTACATTTAATGTATTATACTCACTATATAAATGTATCATATTACATAGTACTTTATAAAAAAAAAATGTTTCTTGACAAAATGCAAATAGCATTTGCTATTTCTCCCACAGCATTTGTTAGTTATAAACATGTTTTTAGTTCATGCGAGGGCAGGGGTAGCATCATGGTTGAGGATTTGGACTACTAATGAAAAGTCGCTTGTTTGATGTCAGCTAAGTGCGTCACAGGAAGTGTAAAGTACCTGAGATCCCCCTTCAATAGCCCAGTGGCATCATGAACAAGGCACTTAGCCACTAGGTGTACGGTACTGCACACCCAATTACAGTATTACAAGTTAAGACTAAATATAAGGCATCTTCAGAATGATAAATACAGTTTGCTGTCTTTATTATGCATGCAGCCTGAGAGATGCAGAGATGAAGACAGAGTAAGAGACATGAGACCGAGTAAATTGGCCCATTTAGTGACACAGAGAGAATGGCTCTTTACACCCGTTAAGCCAGTGGACTGTCTAATTTAAATGACCAGGGCTTTGTAATCAGCTTTGCAAACTGGTATGCACCACGAGACGCATAAATGCAGTCACTGAACCCTGATAATCTCCTAAGAGTTTCACACAGCTCACACCCCATCTTGCAAACATTCACATTGTTTTTTTTTTGTTGTTTTTTTTTAATCCAGACAGTGTTAGTGAATGAAGTCACTGGACACTGATCAAAGGGGGTTTCAAGCGAGCAGTCATGTGAAAACACAGTAACTTACCACAGCTGTGGCTGTGCCCGCACCTAATGACACCCAACTCATGATCAGGGTCAGTACGCCACACACCATAATACTGAAATGAGAAAAAGAGAGGAAATAACAGTGAGATGTGAGGTCAAAAAATACAATTATACACTACCTATCAAAAGTTTGAGTCAGTAAAACATTTTGAGTCTCTTATGCGCACCAAGGTCAAAAATACAGTAAAAACAGTAATAATGTGAAATATCATTATAATTTAAAGTAATCAATTTGAATAAATGTTAAAAGTAATTTATTCCTGTGATGCAAAGCTGAATTTTCAGCATCATTACTCCAGAAAAAGCGAGGAAATAACAGTGAGATGTGAGGTCAAAAAATACAATTATACACTACCTATCAAAAGTTTGAGTCAGTAAAACATTTTTTGAGTCTCTTATGCGCACCAAGGTCAAAAATACAGTAAAAACAGTAATAATGTGAAATATCATTATAATTTAAAGTAATCAATTTGAATAAATGTTAAAAGTAATTTATTCCTGTGATGCAAAGCTGAATTTTCAGCATCATTACTCCAGTCTTCAGTGCCACATGATC